GACTTCATCACCAATATCACGGGGGACTTCATCACCAATATGTTGATTTGTGGGCTGGTCTCTGTTGACAGGCACAATAGTTATACCTCATAGTACAATAGCGACGTGTGGAATCACATATCCGATAAATCAAGGTGTTTCCTTTACTTTGCTGAGTCTTCTTACTGTTACACTATTACAGTGCAGTATCCTGCACACTTTCTCCTTTCTATGGATTAAACAGGCTCACTGGTTTTTTCTTGCGCCCCCCTCCCCGTCGTTCCTTCCTCCCCAGATGGCCTGGCTGCCTTCAGAGCCTTTCTGCGAACAGAATTCAGTGAAGAGAATCTGGAATTCTGGCTGGCGTGTGAGGATTACAAGAAGATTAAATCGCAGTCCAAAATGGCGTCCAAATCAAAAAAAATCTTTTCAGAGTACATCGCTGTACAATCCTGCAAAGAGGTGAGGGCAGGAAATTCAGTAGCCAAAAAAATCTACTATGGCTTAATGTTAAATTTATGTTCTATAAGCTTGATAAAAGGTGTCATAAGGTATTAAAAAAGAAGAGCGATTTAATTTGTTTAGTGATTTTCAAACTTTCCCAAAAAATACTGGGCAGTGGAGGCTGTGAGATCACACAGTTAGAACATTGGGACCTGAATTTTTGTCCTCAGAATATCTCTTCTGTGTGGGGTTTTTTTTGAGTTTCAGGGTTGGAAAGGAAAAATGGAAATAGCATGTCAGAAGTAGAGATCAGTTTCCATTTCACCAGGAGTAACCCAGTGCCTCCCCCCCCCAGGTTAACCTGGATGCGCAAACAAGAGAGCAGACCAAGGACAACCTGCAGAACATCACCTGCTCGTGTTTTGACCAGGCCCAGAGGAAGATATATGGACTCATGGAGAGAGACTCCTACCCTCGTTTCCTGCGCTCAGAACTTTACTTGGACTTGATCAACCAAAAAAAGGCAAACTCAACATCAGCCTCTTCGTCGTAAGGTCACAGAGAGGGAGAACTGTGGAAGGGCTAGGTCGATTTCAGATTTCTTTCTCAATTTGCACGTTTGAAAATGGATGAGCACTGAGGGATGGTGTGTGTACAAGGAGAGGGGCAGACACCCTGAGGGGTCATGACAGGCCCCCCTGGATGGGTGTTGCTGGGCAGGCCCAGGGCAGGGGGACAGCGTACCATTATTGCTACAGTTATTAATGTATTGCTGGAAAAAAAAATCTCATTTTGGTGACCAGTGTTTCCCAACCCGGTCCTCAGGAACCCCCCAACCCAACCAGTTCACCTTTTTTTTCCTAGCAAAAAGGTGGACTGTCTTCGAGGGAGCAAAAACATGGGCTCCTGAGGACCGGGTTGGGGAACATTGCTTTAGTCCTTATTTGGAAATTCTGCTTCCTCTTTTAAAACATTTATACTACAAATAAGCAATACGTTTCCATTCGTCATTTTCTTTATGGCCATTATAGGACAAGTAGATGAAATGTGACAGCAGCAGGCTTATTTATGAGTAATAAGGGTGGTTAGGAGGTTTTCTTTCTTAGAGTTTAACTACGCCGTTTATGCCCTGCCATCTACCCAGCACCCCCACAGGTATTTGTCTCAGCTCCTGGGTTACTTCCCCCTTTTTTAATTCATCACCAGAATGATGGTGAGTCAGGGGGGGGGGGAGTAAGAGGGTGAAAAAAAAGATTAATGGACAGACCAGACAGGTGAAGCCTCCTTTGCTGTCCTGCTTTTCACACGCTGATGATCTTAGAGGGACCTGCAGCCACTCTTCAAAGACTGAACATGGCTGAGATAACCTGTGGAGCCATTAAACAGGTCCTCATAGAGCTAGTCTGGACAGAGCAGTTCCCTCAGGGCGTCAAGACACTTGATGGTGAAGCTTCCAGGTGTGGTTTCTGATGTTTCCTAGTATTGTTGATCATAACCTGCTTTTACTCTGCACACAGTGGTACACTGTAAGGGGTTTACCTTCCTTGTTTCTGGACAAAGGTTTTATTTATTCTGACATTATTGCTGGAAGCTTCAGTCAGTCGACTATGATGGAATCTCTTCCCACCCATGACTACAAGCCAGGCTGAATGCATCCTCATTTAATGTGCAATATTTTTGTTCTTTCAGATCATTTTTTTAACTAGACGATGAATGGAGCTCTGTATTAATTTTATTTGAAAGAGTTTATGTTCAAGTTATGTTCAAAGAATGATTAACAATGTAAATATCATGAGCATTTACAAAAAAAGATAGAGTTTTAAGTGTTTTCTCCTAGCAGCAGGCAGCTAGGAAGATGTAAATATAATTCTTAAGAAAAACTTCCAAAAGGAAAAAAAACGTGACATGACAAACATGGTTGTATCTATGTATATATGAGACTTAAAGCTATAAAATGATACGCATTACAAAGCAGGAGGAGATCGATAAAATCTGTACCTTCTCAGTCATACACTGCTTGTAAGGAGTTTTAGTAAATATATCTGATCATTTTCACTGTTTACAGCTCAAAGCATCTCCCAAGATAGCAACACATTGTGTCACTGCAAACAATGAATAAAATAACAAAACCATCCTGTGGTGTCCTGCTTTTCTTCTTTTCCTTCCTTTTTTCGCATTTCTACAGTGTTGTACCGAACTTTCATTTCTGGACTGCTGGCATTTAATGAGGGTTTATCTTATTTAGTTTATTTTTTTTTCGGTAGGTTTCACAAAAGCCTTCGTGTTTATGTCATGTGACACAGTGTTTATGTCATGTGACACAGTGTTTATGTACAGTCATGTGACACAGTGTTTATGTAGAGTATGTGTAGGACACAGAAATGGGGCCCAGTCACTCTGTATAGGTAAGTGTTCAGCAATTGTGCAGTTTTATTATACTATATATATTGTGCTTTGTAAATAATAGGAAAATTGCAGCATGTGAATGCAGGAAATTTCTTTTGTTTTCTGCAAAGAAGACTGCAGCGTTATGTCCTTGCATTCCCTCTTGAATTTGACTCCTGCTCATCAGTTTGTAAGCAGTATCCCCCTCTGTTTCACTCTTTTAATAATTTCTTTCACTTGTGCTGGCAATAATCTGATTTTCCTGCTAGGGAGGATTCGCTGTGTGAGCAACATTTGCAATGCAGTGGTAGCTAATGTCCTCTGTAATGTTTCCATGCTTTACCACTGTTTGAAAATGTCTAATTTGAGCAGAAAAAAATGATTGACAGAATGTTGCCTGTGTACACCAAGCATGCTCTGAGTTCAACATGTTATTTCATACTACACTGCAAAAATAAATGTTGTAAATGAATCTTTAATGGAACTAAAGATAGTGTCACAGTAAAATTTGTCATTATGTCCTAAAAATGAGCATGTAGACCCTTCCATAATACATGATAACATAGCTTATAATTTTACCATATACTCATTTTTACCAAAGGCTTTTTGGTTGAGAGCCTTGTGAAACATTAAGGTTTCTTGAGATTTTCTCTTTTCTCAAACTTTGTTGCAACCTTCTCAATTATACTATAAAATTCAGACATTTTAAATAATTTCTGTATGACTCCAATCATGCCAATTACGTTACCTGCTTATTTCCAAAAGGCTTCTACCAGATTGCTTCATAAGAGCAATGTTCCTATTGCAAGTTTTCCCTTTGTTATTAAATCTTTAAGCTATTCATTTCTTTCACATGAAACTGGCTTTTCTATTCTAATTTCAAGGTTGTTACTCTGGAAAATAATACACAAATCTGTGGGTTTTTTTTAGAGCTAGAGTCAGGAAGTTTTTAAGGTCATTTAATTATGTCCACATAGAATTCCTCCTTTTTATTTTCCACGAACAGTAGTTCTACGGTTCCATGCTACTAAAGATGTTGAGCTATATAGATACATGGTGCCAGTCAAAAGTTTGGACACGCCAAGCCACCTACAAAGGCCACCTGACCTAAACAGTTGAAATGGTTTTGGAGGAGTTTGAGGAGAAAGTGAAGAAAAAGTGGCCAATAAGTTTTCAACATATATGTGGGACCTCCTTCAAGACAGCTGGAAAAGCATCACAGGAGGCCACCTCATGATCCTGGAGTAGAGGAGACAGCAGGGTCGGACAGTCCCTGTAGCAACTGGGGTTAAGGGCCTGGTCAATGGCCCAATGGTGGGATCACTCTGGCAACCACAGGATATGAACCCACAACCTTCTGAAATCCAACCTATAGAGCTGCCTCCCCTCAACATATTAATTTTGATGTCTTTATAAATATTCTAAAATGTACAGAATAGTAGAAATAAATGTATCTATGGGTCGCTGTGTCCAAACTTTTGACTGGTACTGTAGTTGTGTAGGGCTGCTGGCAGGGAAAGGGGACTTTCTGCACAGATCCCCATGCAGTGTATAACCAAAAGGGCTGCTGTTTCAGGCAAGTGAGACTATTTGCAGAGCATTGCTCCTTCAGCGCCAGGTGGTTACCCTTCAGACTCACAAACACAAAAAGGGAAACTTGACTGTGATGGGCTAAACAGCCCTGCAGAATTCTGGCTGAGGTTTACGTGTTCCTCTTTCCCATGCTTTTTAAGGACTTTTCCAGGCAATGGAAGCTGATGTAAGAGTCTTGCGTTGAAAAAAAGAGACTTTCTGACATTCACATCTGTTTTCAACGTGTGTCTTCCGGATCGGTGAGTTTCTAAATTGCAAGAGCATGACTGAAGCTGCTACCCAATTTTGAGGTGTATTTAGTCACAGACTTGTTCTCTGAAATTGATGATTCTGTGCCACACTAAGGAAAAGAGCACTGTAGGTGAGACACTTCCTTTTCTAGGTTAGAAGTCTAGTGAGTTGTCTGAAGAACATGGGGGAAAAAAGTTTATTTTTTGTCTTTTGTGAAGAGTACATGAAGATGGGGAGTAGACTTAAATCATTGTTGTGTTGTGTAAGGGCAAGTCCAAACAAACAATATTTATTAGCAGGTTATTTAGTAAAATCTGTAGTCATAGTAGTATGCTGTCCTATTTTCTATTGGCTCTGTGTCCTAAGGACAAAGAATCTGTTAAGGTTCAAAATGCAATAAAACAGGAAACCAAACAAAAATAGACCATTTTTTCTTTTTCTGTACTTGCCAGATTGTTGAAAACTTCTCCAGTTTTGATACAAATTTCTGTAGCCTGTAATAGTTCCCCAGCTTTCTCTAATTAAATCCACAGGATTCCAAAATGCACATTGCCAAAAGGAATGAAAGAATTCTCCCCAGCTTCTAGATTTCTTGGTCTTACTGTGTTTTGAGAAAGGGATTCTTACTGCCAATATGAACTATTCCCTCTGAAAATAATATGGAACAAAGTATGTTACTAACATGATTCAATGATTCAATGATTCAATCCTAAAGAAACCAAAACGACAAATAGACTGGTCAGATAAAGCTAACATAATAACCTATATCAAGGGTGATGCAATCCAGTTTTGGATACTACATGTAAACAAATACAGCATTCGCTCAAAATCCCTCAAAAAAATCTATAACATTGAGAACTTCCATATATAGGGAATTCACTCTATTTCTATTGTGTCCTAAAAATGAGCATGTGGAGCTTCCATAATACATGATAACATAGCTTCTACTTTTACCATATACTCATTTTTACCAATGGCTGTTTGGTTGAGAGCCTTGTGAAACATTAAGGTTCCCTGATATTTTCTCTTTTCTCAAACTTTTTGTTGCAGCCTCCTCAATTATCCTATAAAATGCTGACGTTTGAAAGAATTTCTGTACGACTCTGCCAGTTATAAGGCCTGCTTATTTCCAGATGGTTTGTACAGTATCTTGTGCTTCATGGAGTTTTCTAAGTGTATTTTTGTTGAAGCTTACATAATCTTCCAAAGTGAAAAAAATGTAAAGTATTCCACATTCATACATACATATGATAGCAGTGACATAAAATGGTTTTCATTCTGATAATCACTTTGTTCACTGTCTGCTGGTGAAGGGAATGGGTCACCAATCAATCATATGACTGCTGGCCTAAACAAGGTTAGCAAGTCATATTTCCTTCTTACACAGTACCCAGAGTGCAGGGACGAAGGTGATATATGTTCTCACATCCTGCTTTCCTTTGCACCTTTTGAGTTACTGTGTCTGTTGCCACTCAGCTGACTGGGTTGGAATGACCTCATGGCACCTTGTTCTGCGATGGTGTGCAGGGAGTGAAAGCCGAAGATGATCGGCCAGGATTCTCAACATCCTTGACTCTTTCATGAAGAGGAAGTGACTCCAACATTAACCCTGCTTGATAACGCATATAAGACAGTGTTAGGCGATATAAAATGAGTTAGGACTTATGACTGTTGTTCTTTTCTTTGTGAGAATGCTAATATAGTCTCTGAATTTCTATGGTATAGGGACTTCAAAGTTTATTGAAAGTATCTCATAGAAAGTTAGCACTTAGCACACAGCTCAATAATTTCCCTCATATTCCTGTAACTGTGCCACAGGCCTTAGAGCAAGGGTTTGAGCTGCAGGAAAAGCCTCATTTTACCTGCCTGTATCACTGATGTTGATTTACCAGTAAATCGCAAGTCTCATATTTCGGTTCCAAAATTGCCAACATTTGTCAACTTATTCTTCTGTCAATTTCATAATCCCTTTTACTTCTCTGAGTTCCCTAAACCTTTATCAAGGACAGACTCTTCTCTTTTCACCTGAAATGAGCAATTGAGACATTAGAGAGAGAGAGTATCCTGACCTTAGATTTTGAGGTGCTGCTGCTTCAAACTCACCACTGAACAGGGCATGCTTGAGGACCTGCTCATATAATACCAAAAACAACACACCAGATGCCCTTCTAGCTACGGCTGTCCATTAAAATCACATACTTGTCAGGGGCTGGCAACCACGCTAAATGACTCTCCCTACATTCATACAGGAACTGAAAGGCTTTCACTAATGGCTGCACTACCCCACATTCCTTCCCATAGTATGTGCTGTGCACGCAGTTGTATGCTGTTTCCACAAAACACTTGTATACTATTTTATTACATTCCCACAAACCATCCTGCACTTGTGCGAGGGTGATGGTGCAATGTTTTGGGGTCAGGCATGGATGGCTAGATTCCCCTCTCCAACACTCTGGCGATAAAGCGCTCACTATCAAGTATCAGCCCCAGGCAGAGCTCCAGCGGTGGGTCCTTGTAACCCAGCACTGGATGGGATGCCTTGGGTCAAAGCTCGTCTTCCAGATGATGTAGCTCTATGGATTATGGATGCATACAAACCCCTCCACCACACTGAAGTTACGATATGTGGAAAGAAAACATTTTGTCTCTCAGGATCTATTCTAGTGGCTCCCTTGTTGGCTTGTGAGTGTAGATAATCCCATGTGTGGCAGGAGATCATTCACCGCTGTGTGTAAACACAGTGAAATGTTTAGCAACAGAATATTTAAAGGGGTTGGACAATAAAACTGAAACACCTAGTTTTTGGTGTTAGTAATTGATTCGTTTGGTGTAGGGCCTCCTTTTGCGGCCAATACAGCGGCAGTTCGTCTTGGGAATGCAGGTCAGTCCTGCACATGGCCAGAGGGATTTTGAGTCATTCCTCT